AGGGGGGCACACGTGTGTACAAAACACACGTGCGCCTGTGTCTTCCTTCTCCCCGCTGCTCCTAGCTGCCAAGAATGAGAATAAATTCATTTAAAGAAGGGGGTAGCTCTCTGAAAATACAGAAATATGACCAGGATTTCATAGGTTACCTTTTATTTTGTGCACTTAACTGATGTTTGCTATGACTTAGGAGGTAAGTAAGAGAGAAGTATTTGGGACTGGCACTGGTTTTCAATTAGGTGAATTATGTACTTACCTAGTAGGTATATAAGTAGAGTACACTGCATTTCTTCACTCCCCCCTTAGGTCACCTTGAGCTTTGCCTACTGAGTTGCTGAGCCTAAAACAACATACTGTCAGCTTAATAAAATTTAAATTTGGGACCAAATTGTGCCAAGAGGGGCATGCAGTCTCTGCTGAAAGTAAAGGAAACTGTAAGCACATGTCACAAGAACCACTCTGTTAATTGTTTTCAGTTGTCTGATGTCAGACCTCTTTTCATAAGCTGTAGGAATGAAAAACTGTACGCCTGATTTTGCTACTCTGTGGAAGCCTTTGCACATTCCCAGTAAAAGTTAAAGGAATATATATTATGCTGTTAATCATACCTTGAGTCATTTAGATTTGCATTAGTGTTTTGCATTTAGATTTTAGTAATAAAATCATCAATCTGTATCTTCATGTTTATCAAATAGTGTAACAAGTCAAATTGGGCTTAATTCTCAAGTAACTCTTCACTGGTACTGTTTCTCTAGGAAAAGAGGTTTTGAAATGATGGTGCCTTCGTTCTTACTACTTTTTATTTTTCTTCTCTCCTCCCACAGATTGTATGTTACATTTACTTTACACGGATCATTGCGATGCTTATTAAGGTTGCTGTCCCATTCCAGTGGAAATGGCTCTACCAGGTATCTTGCTGGCAAAGGAGAATACTTCCATCCTCTGTATTTTTTTAGTCATTTATTTTAAAATGCGATGTATATTAAAAGCAAATACACAAGCGTTTCTCCATATTGTAACATAATTTTTCTAAATGCAGTACTAAGGTCTGTGATTTTCTTCTGATCTTAACCCTGATATACCTGAGGTGGGGAGGGAACATATTTTTAGTTTGCTGTTTATCCAGCATGGCTGCTGGATTATATATGAGATGTCTCAAGGTAATCATATTATTGATTTTAGCTTTTCAGTTTAAAAGTGTCTCAAGGAAATGGATCAGGAGCATACAAAGGAAAAAAATGAGACCCAGGCTTGTCCTGTGTAATTGAGGCTCTAGGGAGCTGGCAAAACAGGCTTTCACTTTTCCATCTATGGGCTTTATTTGCTTGATGACTTTTTAAATACTTGGTTTCTTACAGTATAATCCAAGCTACCATGCAGGGAGTCTTTGAATATGTTAACTGCTGGTAGCTCTAAACAATTTAAAGGATCTTTGTTTCCTTAACTGCAGTAAGGCTTTGCTTTTAATTTTAAAGAACTGAAATAATGTTTAGATTTGTAACTAGTTATTTAAAACCAGGAAAACAACAAAAGTAGAGGGCATGACAGTATTTGTCCAGATACTGGCATCAATAAGGCAGGGAATAGCTTTGTTGCACTTTTACCAGACTAAAGTCATCTGGTTTGCTAAACCCTCCAATTCTCAAACAAAGGGAAATGTCCTACAACTATATTGGGGTTAAAAGTAATAATCTTGTCTCCTGTTTTTACTTGTAGCTTTTGGATGAAATGGCCACACTGGTGTTCTTCGTCCTTACTGGGTACAAGTTCCGTCCAGCATCAGACAACCCTTACCTACAACTCTCTCTGGAAGAGGAGGATGACTTGGAGATGGAAGCTGTGTAAGAACTTTCCTGCCCCTCGTCATTGTTGGGTTTAACATTGTGCAGAAAGAACAGACTGCTTGCACCTTTGTTTGAAGGAGACTTATTCTCTCCACGCTCTACCCCTAAGCAAATCAGTCTGGGATGTGTAGAAGTGGTGTCTCGAGCTAACTGCTCTACTCAATGGCTCTCAAAGCACTAAGGAAGCTTGTGGTACTTGTGTGGACCAGAACTGACCATTGTACTGGTGTGCAGAAAGATACTATGTCATGTTTAAAAAAAAAAAAAAAAAGCTTTTAAAGAAGTCATTTGCAAAGGTGCTGTTGGGGCTGGAACAGGACTAGAAGGGGCCTCTTGGGACATGGAGGCCAGTACCCTACATTCTCAGGCAACTGTTTATCCAGAGGCCTCAAACTGGGGCATTCCAGGCCTTGACATGTACTGCAGGCATACAGCACTTTGCAAAAAAGAAGCTAAGCACCACCTCCAACATGGGATTGGCTTATAATAAAGAGAAGGCATTTTTATGCGCTCTAATGGCAGCAGCAGATAAATTATTAGGTGAAGATACTTCGAGGTAAATTTAGAAAGAGGGCCATACCCTGCTTCCTTGCAACATCCTTCCCAATCCCACTTTGGGGAGGAGGGTGAGGTGGTGAGAGAGAAGGTACAGCATCACATTGTAACATAAGATTGTTATATTGTAACTTAGAGCCACATTCTTCTCTTTTGCTTCAGTATCTGCTGTTCCTAGACCTTTATCAAAGTTTGCAACTATCTCCAGCCAGAGGCAACACTGATGGCCATTTATCTCCCTAAAAGTATCCACATGGTGGCTCAAACATAGACACCCTTATTGTCTTACCCCTATAGTTTTTTTTTTCCCTGTATGTTTTTGCATCTATGTATTAACTGTTGCAGATGATGAGGCTTGTCTGCACTCTGGTCTGCTTGGAGTGGAGAGGGGCTGTTAGGGTTTAGGTTTTGTTTACATGAGGAAAGTCTTGATCTTGCAGAAGAGCCACTGTGGATCATTACCCTACTGAAGTTATCTTAACTGCGCTATTTTTGGTGGCAGCTGAATGCCTGCATACAGCTTTCTCAGCCTGGCTTTTTAGAATGAATCTGTTGGCTCTAGCTGTCATGTCACAGCCTGTTCTGGCAATTAGATTAACTTGAGGCAATCCCTGGGAAATCCTTAATTCTAGTGCAAATGGAGGAAAAGTGATTTGACCTTTGGCTCAAAGACCAGAATGAATTGACCTGGATCCCTTGCAGTCTCATCTTAACAGGAGCACATCCAGTGTGTAATCAGAGAGGGGTTTCTTCCAGCAGTTCCTACCCTGAGAATTCTTCACGAGCACACAACTTCCTTGCAGCTGCAGGATGCTAATCTGTGTTCACCCACCATACAGTGGGTGGAGTTCAATGCAAGGTGCTGTTTTACTTGCTCTTGCCCCGGTAGTTGAGCCTGGAGCTTTGACAGCACAATCCTGAGCAAGACGGAACCAGGGGGTGAATTCTTCGAAGCCTTCCTCTTCCATGTTCCATCGCTTCTGCTAGATCACCGGGCCCTGGGGCTGATGATCCATTGCACATGGAAATAAGAATTCTAAGAGTTCTATAATCTGAAATAATTAAGCACAAAGATGGATTTCAGTCCAAATGCTTGCCCCTGCCCCTCTGGTATTTCTGCCTCGGGGTGGGATTCAGAAATTTTTCTAATTTCCTGTAATGGAATGCCATAAAAAAGCCTTGTTCAGTGTAATTTAACATGTATTCTTGCCCATCTGAATTGATTTCTCAGACCTGCTTGGGGTGTGGTGATTTGAAGAAAGCAGCAGGGAGAGAGTTGATGCTTTTGGGATGAGAGGACAAACGAAGGGCAGAGTTGGTGAGGCAGTCTCTACAGATGCTTGAATCCATCGTTAAAGTCTCAAGGCTGTTATTAACCTTATCTGTCCCAATTCATTGTAGTGAAAGACTGAATCTGCTCCTTTTCCTAGAGGCTTACACAATAGAATGGTCTTCCCAGAGGTACCTTTAAAGGAATAGCATCTTAAATCACATTGTCTGTATTTTTTTTCTTTCCTTTTAGTTATTTCAGGGTTTACTTTAACTGACATCAGAAAAATAAGTTCTCTGTGGCTTATTCTGTGCAGGTGTAATAGCATGCCTCATGGTTTGTTTTGGGTTTCTTTTGCTTCCACTTCTCTGTAGACAGTTTCTCCTTTGTGGGAGTTCTTTAGATCACAGGAGTTTAGAAGCTGTTTCATTAGAAGGGAGAGAGGAAAAGTGGAACCAGCAGCATTTGCAAGATTAGGGAAGCAGATGCAATATCTAAATTTAGCACATCTTGAAACTGATTAGATTGCAGCGCTGGTATCCATTGCGTGGGTAGGATAGTCAAAGTGGTCCAAACTACAGCGAAGCAATTGTAATTGTAGCTTGACTGGTGGCACATCTGGTCACTGTCAAAGCACAATTGAGGCTTATAAGCTTCCAGTAGTTTCATTCTATAACCCAGACAGGCTCTTAATAGCTTTTGGCTATTGTATAAATTGAAATAATTTCCCTGTTGGAAGAAGCAGGGAGGATAGGCTTAATGTCAAGAATACAATAGCAGAGGGCCTGACAAGAACAAGAACAGCTGTGTACTCCTGTAGGCATGCAGTAAGGCTGCTCTGCTGTGTTGCAAATCCAGTGCCATTTATCAAGTCTGCTGGAGCACAGAAATTAACATGCTCTAGCAGCCTCCAGCATCATGTGCAGCAGCATCCCCGCGCTGAAAAGTGGCAGTAGGGCGCTTTAAACTAAATCTTGTGCAAGGAGCTTTAGTTCAGAGTGCCCTGTCGTCATCTTTCAGTGTGGGGATACTGATGCACATGATGCTCAGGCACTTTTAATTAGTGTGGTTCTCTGATTAAAGTGCCTCCCCCCACCTCTTGGGAGCATGTCTATAAACACCCTGTGTGACTAGGTATAGGCAAAGCAGAGATCTGGATAGAAGTTCTGATTAGGTAGGTACTCAGTGCAACAAAACTGTCAGGAATCATTAGCCAGCTGTCTCATCTAGTATGCTTAATAACACATTTGAGCAGTGTTTCCCTAGATGCTTGTAGCTCCTAGAGAATTTGAAAGGCTTTTACCTTGCAGGGGACATGCAGGTAGGTGGGTTTCCAGTCTGAATGCAGAATATGGCTAGGGTGCTGTTCTGATCTAGAGGATGAGGTAAAATTTGACAAGGAGCCTTGTTGGCCAGCACAGGTGAGGTGTTTTTTTTTTAAAGTGTTTCTTAATTGTAAGGTGCTGTTGTTTTGCTTTCTCGGGACTGGGTAACATGGTGCCATATTGGAGTATTCCTGCTACGGGCTCTCAAAGAGCTTATAGCACTTTATCTCTCTGCATACTCCATCTTATGTCTTTAAAGGTCCATTGGTTTAAAAGCTAACTTTGACTGGGGTCTCCAGTGCTGTGAGCCAGTTTAAGGTGTGCATAAGTGGAATGAGAGCAGCAATTAAAGAATAATTAGTGACAAAGTCAGTTTTTGCAGTATTTTTAATAAACTCTAACAAAATTAATCTTGGCCGGTATCTAACAGTGGGTTGACCTGACTAGCTGGTTCCAGGAAACACCAGACAATGTGTTGAACTTTTAGCCTATGTAACCAATTGTATAAATTTAACTCTTCCCTGGATACAAGGTAAAACAGGTTTGAATGTTTCAGACATGAGATGCTCTGTATTTTGTGCTACTCTTCAATAGTTCATTGCACTATAGATGCTCTGTGCTTCCTGATAGGAGTGTTACTTATTACCCAGCTTTTTTTTCTTTCCTCACTGGCCTGTAGAAAGAAGCAGCATTTATCATTTTAAACCAGCAGCTCCCATTAGTGTTGTCAGTAAACTTAGAAAATGCCTTTTTTTTTGTAATTTGCATACAAGCTCAAGAATTTTCCTTCTAATTAATTTATCTCCAATTTGGCAAGCACTTGCCTCATCCAGTTCTGAGCCTTTGCACGTCAAAACTCGTTTGCACCAACCTCACCGGTGTCAGCAGAGTTTGAAAGTGGCGTTAGCTGGGGAAAGCACTGAAGACAAGTTTACCCCAGAGAATTCAGCAAAAGATTTTTCTTGCAACAAGTTTCTGTTAAATTTTTTTGTGAAATAGTGGAGGATAAAAATGGTCTCTGGAATTTATTTTTATTGTATTACAAACTGTTTAGGACTGGAACTCTGGCCAGTTTTCAAATGTATCTGATAGCATGCCTCTTTGCTTGGTCTTTCAACTGTCCCATAACCTTTGGTTACAGAAAAGCAGTAAGGTATGGAACTGCTTACAAAAGCAATTTTTCTTGATTCTGGTACAGGCGAAAGAAAACAGTCTCTTGTTTCAATTCTTATTTGTAGCATCTTATTTCGGCCATCTGGTTCTCCTTATTGAGAAGAGAGAAAACGTAAGTGGAATGTTTAAGATAAATGAGGCTGAAATAGGTACAAGTACCCCCAGATAACTGAAATGAATTGTTTGGTGGAAAGTGCCACAGTATCATCCTCTTTCTGATGCTGTGTCTGTACCTTTTTACTGTGAAGTGCCCTGAGGTAGCGCACAGAGGTACTTGGATCCAGTGTTTGCCCTTCAACAGTTGCATTGGGGGTCTGGTGCTTAGAATAGCTTGTGGAGTTGGTAATGCAAAAAAATCACCCTCACTAATCTTTTAACCTAGTTTTTCAGGAGCAATTAAGTCATTACCTAATGATGGGTAGGAGGCCTTTATGCAAGAAATGTAGTTCCAGCGTGGGCGCTGGTGAATAAATGTCCAAGCCAGGAAAACACAGTCCTAAATGACTCGTGAGGGGTCCAGGCATGAACACTGCTACATGGACTCATGGAACAGGCATGGACGCTTGGCTAACTTCCTTGGTAGCTATGCACTGAGATTAATTTTGGGCAGTGGATCTCTTATTCCCCAAACCACATCATGTAGTGTGTCCTTGATGTACCCCCAGTTTGTCGGA